AGTAAGCATGATATCCAGAAATCCACGAAGTAAACATGCTTAATAATATTGACCTAGTGCATAGTGGAGAGTTAATTTTGCTACTACTTACTAGTGTTGCTCGGCGCAATTAATAAATTGCTCCTTTCTTTTGCTATGTGAAACTTGCATCGGTTGCTGGCTTTGCTGAAGATGAAACACTACTTGGTGCCGTTCTTTATGATGAATCTCATCAGCATTTTAACAAGTTCATCTTTTGATTTGCAGAGCATATCCTCTACCTAAACTATTGGCATCAGTAAATAATATTTGGCAGAAATGAAAAGGAAGAAATATTGAGTATTCTATCAGGGACAACTATGATCTTAAATTTCCCTTGTTTTTATAAATCTCATTGGCCGCATCTATCTTCAAGTGCTTGCTTCAAAATAAAGTGCTAGGGTTTGTGACCAGAAACAGTTTTTCAATGGAAAGTCCATGGAACTCTTTTAGCTTCCTTAACGAGGCACTTTTCCTTCCTAGTGCTTCTGTTTTAAGTACCATTTATGTTTACTTTTGGCTGAAAGTGAATTGCTTAAGCCACTTGTGTTTATAGAAGGTTAAGCATGCAAAAAGAGGTGGTGAAGCTAAGCATGAGAAAGAGATGATAGCGTGATGACTTCGTGTGTAATTATTTATTTTGAATATGCCTCCTTTTGATCTTTCAATATGTTATTTCTGGTTATGGAATACCTCCAGCAGTTTAGCAAAGGAAATCCATTTTGCTTGCCTTATCCTCTTGAAAGTGAGAATTGCTGCAATCCCATTTTTTTAAAGGTAGGGGAATAAGTGACCTGAAATTGCTCATATGTTGAAGTTCATTCTTGTGAGACCCCTCCTTTTTGTGCTATAATGACTTACGTAAGTATAAGGCACCTGACCTTGAAGGACATACAGATAGACGTGCTGGAGAAAATTAGATTATAATCTGAAAGAAGTTCCTCCACACGATTTTATTCAGATGACCGAGAGTTTTTCTAGGATTCAGTAATTTTCATGGGATTTTCTGGTTCATTGGTTAGAAGTATAAAATGCCGAGATATGGAGAATCCTTTACTGATATTTTCTCTCATCGTTCAAAGCAGCGGTGAGAGATAGCACATTTCCTTCAATACGTTATCTCATGTATCTTTACCTGACTGGACATTATTCTTAAAAGTAGACGATTTTATATCCCTAGGGAAGGCTATAGTCTCTTATGTTCTGTGAAAACTTCAAATATCTTTAAACTGCTTTAATTTATGGCTGGATTTATCTGTCTTGCAACCTTTCCTCTTTAATCTTGTAATGTGGATACTGTTTTGGTAGGACCTGGATAAATTTTGTTATATGTAAATATCTATAGGCTTTCTAGGCATGATTTGGAGGACTAATTTTCTAGGCTCAGCGAGGATGTTCAATTGTCTTGTGGTTTGGTTTCTTCAAGCATTTCCTGAACTTTGTTGAACACGTTATGAAGTAAAATAATCATTACTGTGTCTTATATTTGCAGGTTTTATGCTGCAGAGGTTTTGCTAGCTCTTGAGTATCTGCATATGCTTGGAGTTGTGTACAGGGACTTGAAACCTGAAAATGTTCTGGTTCGTGATGACGGCCACATTATGCTCTCAGACTTTGATCTTTCATTAAGATGTGCTGTATCACCAACCCTCATAAGAACCTCATATGACTCTGACCCAAGAAGGGCTGGCGCCTTTTGTGTCCAGCCTGCTTGTATTGAGCCTTCCTCTGTTTGCATCCAGCCTGCTTGCTTCATTCCCCGATTCTTCCCCCAGAAGAATAAGAAAAAGACTCAGAAACCCCGTGCAGATCCAGGATTCCCCTCTAGCACCCTTCCAGAGCTTGTAGCTGAGCCCACTTCTGCTCGGTCAATGTCCTTCGTCGGGACCCATGAGTACCTTGCCCCCGAAATTATCAAAGGAGAAGGGCATGGGAGTGCGGTTGATTGGTGGACTTTTGGCATTTTCTTGCATGAACTGCTTTACGGTAAAACCCCATTCAAAGGCTCTGGGAACCGCGCCACGTTATTCAACGTGGTTGGGCAGCAACTCAAGTTCCCGGAATCACCAGCCACAAGTTATGCAAGCCGGGACTTGATACATGGTTTGTTGGTAAAAGAGCCACAGAATAGGCTCGGGGTGAAGAGGGGTGCAACCGAGATCAAGCAGCACCCATTCTTCGAGGGCGTGAATTGGGCCCTCATCCGGTGCAGCACACCTCCAGAGGTGCCAAGGCCAGTGGAAGCCGAGCTGCGAGGGAAGTATGGGGCAGTCGACCCGGTTGGTGTTGGCAGTGTTAGTAAAAGGATGTCTGGGCCGGGGACGGACATGAAGTCTGGCGGTAAATTTCTGGACTTCGAGTTCTTTTAGTGTTTTGGACTGGTGGAATTTCTGTGCTGTGTTTGTTCTAGCATTCCTGATAATCCCGCTGGAGCTTCTCTGCTCTGTCTCTCCCTGTTACTGCACTACCAAATGGGAAAAATTCTCCGGAAATTCTGTGATCTTGACCCCAAAACTCGACAATCTATACTGAGATTAGCTTTTTAAGTAGGAAACTCATTGGATCTTACTAATGCCGAGATTATTAATTGAAATATTTCGATGAACCTCAGATCCGTGTTGTGATACTTTCCCAAAGCTGTCGCTCGATGTTGGAACTAAACCGTCCACGTATGGATGGAGTTCCTCCTATTAGCGTACTTCTGGCAGATACTTGAATGTAAGTAACTATCGACTTATTCATGTGGCTATCGCGTGATCAATGCCTATACTCTTTATTGCATCGATTCATGTCAATTCGTGTTAATAAACCGACAACCTAGTCCCGGTTCCTTGTCAATGTGGTGGAGCCAAGTCGGATATTATGTCACGGTCACCGATCGCAAGCTCAGACAAGCATGGACAGCTGATCGGACATACAAGAAAGAATGCTAAAATTGCTCGCGGCCTTCTGTTCTTAAAGCTCTCATGTTTGTAAATCTCTTGCTTGCTTTTGCATCACCATAGGATTTGTCCACACGAAGTAGGAAAACTTCCATGCGTGGACAAGGTTCAGCAGTTCTACTCAAAGAGTGCCGCTCGTGTTGTCGGAAAACCCATGGACGTTGTCATTGGTCGTTTTGCATTCACAAAAACAAGTTTGTCATTAAAACAAAGAGGCTAAGATCTCGTGCTAATTGGGAAAGATGAAGCGTGAGAGTATTTCTATTGAGCGGTTATTTCGTACAGGCTCGAATCGTACATTCGATCTCTTTGGTTGGAATTATTCGGAGCATGCCTTCTCGATGTTTTAATACGTATATCAAGTAAAAAAGATGGAAAAATAAAGCCGTTTCTAAATTCAATGCCGTTTTCGGAGAGACCTGTCACCATAGAAAGACCTTCACGGCGGCAAGCCCGCATAATGTCAAGTGGTGTCAGTTTCGGTACGTTGATCAAATGATACCGCGCAAGCGAAAAGTTTATGAAAGTTTTCATGGTGGTATGGATGCGATGAAAGGCGCATCCCAACCTCATTTTGTAGCACCCTCTGTGGTTATATACGATTCGTTTTCTAAGTTCACGGTAATAGAAACGAGGTAAGGTCTTTTAAAGAACAAGGGTTTTTTTTTTTTTTTCCGAATAGGAGAGTTCGGTTTGTAGAAGCGAACAATGCTTTACAAGAGAAACTGGCCTGAAGCGTAAAACCGGTGAATAAAACGAACAAGATGGCTAAATCCTCGGATATAGAAATGAACAATAAGATGCGAACGAAATATCAAAACCCGGTTGATAGCGAGATCATCTAGTTCGGCCTAACCGATTGATCGTGACTTTCTTTTAGTCATGGAGTGATGCACATCTCATTCCATATATTAAAGTGTGATTGGATAGAACGACCATCATTGAATTCAAAAATAGGGTATGGTCTACTCTCCATCAAAGGCAGGAGGAGAAGGAGAAAGATGACCTTAATAAGTCAAGTGGGATTAATGTAGAGATTGACAAAACGAACCGAAACATTAATTAGGCGGCTTTCAAAAATTGCTGTAGATAGTGTGCCTTATGGATGGATCGAACCGCTTAGCAATCCGGTTTTAAGTACGTTTTTCATTTTTAATTGGCGTCGATCCATCGAAACCAATCTTTCGATCGATTCAATTGAGCGTGAAATGCAAATGCGATTCGATTCTTATAAACAAAGAATACTGAGTTTCGGGAAATAAAATGTCTTATTGAATTGGGAAAATAACATAAATGGTCTTTGAACTTTAACTTAATGTGTAATGTGATCCATAAACTTTTAATTTGTTCAAATCATAAAAATGGATAATCAAACCTATTTCTCGATACAATAGACGCTAAAAGAGTTGAATAGGGGTCTCACATAAAGAGAGATATTTAAAAAGCGAGCTTGTTTACTCATATTTCGAATCATAAATAGAAGGGTTAATACCACGAAAAACCCCAAACTGATACATATGTGACAATTTTACCAAAAACTAATTTTTTGACTATCAAAAACTCCAAATTGGTATATCTGTGACAAATTTTACCCTGCGTTAGTTTCCGTTAAATTTTACTGTTAAATTGCTTTGTTAAATGACACATGGTAGTTGACGGATATACCATTTTTGGGTTTTACCCTCTATTTATCACAGGTGTATCAGTTTGTGATTTTTTTTTGTATTAATCCAATTTAGCTGAAATTAACGGAGGGTAAATTAGTCACAAATGTACCAGTTTAGGGTTTTTAGTGGTAAAAAAATTAATTTGGGGTAAAATTATCACATGTCTACCAGTTTGAGATTTTTGGTGATCAAAAAATTAATTTGAGATAAATTTCTCATAAATGTACTCAGTTTGAAATTTTTCATGATATTAATTATAAATAAAATAAAATAATAATTATTTTTAAAATATTTACTTTTCGCGAAACTAACCCATCACAATATCTTTAGCGGATTCGTGAGAACCGTAGATGGCCGCCAAGAAATCCAAATCCCCGTGGGGATGGGAAGGGGAACGGATGACAAGCTAGAACGTGTCGTGACACGTGGACCAATGACGCGAGAGCACGCCCTTCCCTGTCGAGGTTCTTGTGGCGGGTAATGCGATCGAGGGGATGACAGAAGCAGCAGCAGCAGCAGCAGCGCCGCCGCCGCCGAACCGCCGGGAAGGAGATGGGGGATGATCTCTACGCCTTGGACTTCGACGGCGTTCTCTGCGACAGCTGCGGCGAGAGCTCCCTCTCCGCCGTCAAGGTCCCCATCTCCCTCTCTTCCGTACTTTCGCTTCTCTCCTTCTCGTGGTTTGACTCGAACGTGGGGTTGACTTTCCCTCCGCTTTCCTTAGGCCGCGAAGGCGAGATGGCCGGGGCTCTTCGACGGCGTCGATCCCGCCACCGAGGATTGGATTGTCGACCAGATGCACATCGTAAATCTTGCTCCCGAGTAACTGAATCCCATAGTCCATCGTTTTGTTTTCGCGTCGTGTTAAGTTTGGTGAGATTGAATCGGTGACGGCTTTGATTAAGTGGTTAATCAGTTCCTTTGCAATCTAATTATGGGATTTCCGGATGGGTTCGTGTTCTTCGGTCGGAAAATAGCTACTGCGCATCTCGTGGGGAGTTCCAGTGGAATCATTGACACGAATATGGAAGTTCATTTTTACCTGAAAAGATTAGCCATTTATCACTTTGGGGGGCAGGGTGGTCATGGGATTTGGCTTCTCTGTCATGTGATGTTGTGCACCTGCTGTGCTTGTTCTTTCTTGAAGTGTAATGTCTCTCCTCTTTCTCTGAAATAGTGGGTTCTTTGTGAATTATCTTTGCGTGTGATGCAATGTCACGTGTATGGAAGATCTTGTCCTACCTAATTCTAATACCCGAAAATTCTGACACACCCAGATCAAGATGAGTTAATCATCATGTATCTGGAAATTGCTGCAAAAATGTTGGCAACGTATGAGGATTGAATAGGTTGAAGCAGTGTCCTAATGGTGATGGTTTGTGGTAGGTGAGACCTGTCGTGGAGACCGGATATGAAAATGTCCTGCTCGTGAGATTGCTGTTGGAGATGAGAGTGAGCTCTATTCGCAAGTCCTCGGTGGGTAACTTGAATGAATATTTCCTCTATAAACTGCTTCTAGAGCACCTTTGAGCTGATTTATTATGCGTCTCTATTTGGGGTGAAGTACTTTTAAAATGTAGTATGAAAGTGGATGTACCTGATGATATGGGGTTTGGTGTGCAAGGTTGCAGAGGGACTCGCCATAGATGGGATTCTGGAGAACTGGTCAAAGATCAAACCTGTCATTTTGGAAGAGTGGGGCGAGAACAGGGAAATACTGGTAGACCTTTTTGGAAAGGTCAGAGATGAATGGATGGATAAGGACTTGGGAACTTGGATTGCTGCAAACAGGTTCTTTAGATTTTCATTTTCATAAAGAACGTCAGAATCCCGCTTGATCTTTCTAAAAGCTTTTGACTGATATATAGCTCTACCTTCGGATGGGAGTTACTCAAGGGAATGCGTTGATGAGAGTTTGCAAGTCTTAAGTTCCCTAACAAAGCCATTAGAAATTTTTCTTCTTGGGGAATTTGTATTAATGTTGATGTAATTTTTAATAGCCATTGTGATAATTCAACCGAGCGTACTCATTTGACGCCAACATTATCATTTCGCATGGCTTGTTTTCTAGACCCACTATTCCGTTTTACTTCACGTGTACTGATGTGTGTGCTCACAATCAGAATAATTTCCTAGTTCTTCTGGCCATGCTCATTATGTATCTCCTCTTAAATTGTACAATGACCAATTGGTTTTGTCTTAAATTGGGACTCCGGTACCATCGAATTTCTCTTAGCTGAGTTTGTGGCACATCTGTTAGATTATCGATCAATGGAGTTCAAAAACAATATAAAATAAAATTGAAGGACAAAATACCATGTTCGTGCAGCTTAGATGTGAAATATGTTGGCCTAATGATAAGAGTCTTGATGTACATATGTCTAGGACTAACCTACCTGCTGGCTCTGTGTTCCGTCTGATATGTTGACTTTAGGAACATTATCAGTGTTGCACACTTGATTATGCTATTTCATTGTGTTTTCTCGTAATCAATCATTCTTCCTGCAGATTTTACCCAGGAGTTCCTGATGCTCTTCAATTAGCGAGCTCAAGTATATTTGTTGTTACAACGAAACAGGTTGGCTCTTAGAGTCATGGTTACTCTAGTTTAGTAGGACTATGAATTTTTTAAAGTGTTTCCAATCAGCACTTTAAGTTGTTATTGTTGCTGAGCATCCAATTGATTATTCCCTTTTCCCTTTTCGTGTCTTATACATTGATAAAGTCTCTTCTGTTATGCCCATTCCAGAGTCGATTTGCAGATGCTTTGCTGCAGAAACTTGGGGGGGTAACTATACCCTCTGAAAAAATATATGGTTTGGGGACTGGGTAAGTGAATCTCCGATAAGTGTAGTAAAGAAGCATTAAATTAGTGAATGTATCCTCGAGATCTCCATTTTCTCTCTTAATTCATTCTGTGAATTGTATACAGACCCAAGGTGGAAGTGCTGAAGCAGCTTCAGAAGAGACCAGAACACCAGGGGTTAAAATTACAGTAAGATTTTGTCCTGCTTCTGGTAAACGAGGAGTAGCAGTACATGCCATACTAATCTCGATCACTTCGCCATCCTGCAAATGATCTCGAGAAGTTGAAAATTAATTAAGAATGTCCCTTTTCTTGTTCACCAGCTTTGTGGAAGATCGACTTGCAACCCTTAAGAATGTCATTAAAGAGCCTGAGCTAGATGGATGGAATCTATATCTCGGTACTATCTCCTGTCCCCCATGTTCACATTCTTGTTTTCGCTTCTCCATCTTTGCCTATATTTTTTCTTCTGCATTACTCAGTTTGCCTCTCTGCATTTGTAAGTGTATGCTTTTCTCTAGCATATCAGCACATTTGTCGGCACACTAAGCTCGAATAGTTTAAGCAGGGGATTGGGGTTATAACACAAAGAAGGAGCGGGAGGAAGCAGCTAGCATTTCCAGGATTGAGATTCTTCAGCTCTCTGACTTCACTAAGAAGTTGAAGTAACCAAATTCGCCTTTCTTTCTGTATTTTTTCACTAGCTGATTATCAGCCATGTATCTCCAGTAAGTGGTGCAGATGAGATGCTGCTTCAACTTGCAACGGGTCGTCTGGCCTGAAAAACAAAGAAAAGAAAATGATTGGTTAAGATTGTTTTCTTGAAATACTTCCTGCTGAGATAGCCAGTAGCCACGCATATAGGAAAACAAGATCAAAAACATGTGTATAACCTACTGGAAGTTATTAGTGTTGGACCAAATTGGTCGTATGGATCTATCCTTGCTTATTATCTGGTTAACAGCCTATCTTATACCATTCATTTTTGTAGACTCTAGCTTGAAATGCATGAGTAATGTGCTCGTTGCAATAGCATGATCCATCACGGGCCCGTAACAATCACACTTGTACAAGAAGGAAATGATGTTTGCCCCCTTTATGATACTATATGTCTCCGGTTCTTATTTCTTTCAAAGGTATAATCGAGCCTAGTGGAGGCAGTAGGGTGCCAAGTTTGAACTCGACGCAACTCGACTTGCGCACTCGATGCTCAAAGTACAGCTCGAGCTTGATCGAGCATGGAATTTCCCATCCAAGCTCGACTCGGGTAGAAAATCGAGATTTAGTCAAGCTCAACTCAATTTGCCTCGGTTATAATCAAGCTACGAAATTAAGCTAGAGCTCGAACTAAAAAAAAAACTCGAATATCTTTCCCTTATGTATAATAATTTTTTTTGGTTAAGTATATAGTTAGTGTTCAAAATTTTTATGAACTTTATGTTTATTCAATCACATCTTGTATTTTACTTTGTGCAATCAAGTTTTTCCATTAATTAGGCCACAGACATGTGGGGCTACATTGACAAATAATGAAAAAAAGCGCTAAAAAAGTCGTAAATCTATTGTATTAGTACCAATTTGATTATAAATCTTTCAATTGGACCAATTTAGTCTTAAACCTTTTCACAGTCCATCCGGCCATTTTAGATCGGAAATTGCTGACGTGAACGTCGGAGATTCTACGTGGCATGGCCGTCGCTGATATATAAAACTAAAACCATATTTGTGCATGTGATGTTTTGCATTACACAATTTATTAATTCTGGAATATTATCCTTAGGGATTAACTTCACTCTCTATTTTTTTTATCTAATCGAAATCTTACGACTCACGCATTTTCACTTTTATTCAATGCAAAACACTCGAAACTTCACAAAATGTAAATGTTGAAATGTAGATTCACATACAGTTTTTTTTATGATCTTTCAAAGTTTGAATAATAAATTACATTTTGACAGGAAAGTTTAATAAAAAAAGATTACCTTCTGCTGTTATTTAAGTGGAAATAACAAGTTCTTAAATCCTTAAAATAAACAATCGCGAGTCATATTCAAATTTGATTCCTCAAAGTGAATTTCCCTAGTTTCTTTAACACGAATTCACTGTCAAATTTCTTTCTCCCATGCATATTAGATTCGCAAATTTTAGACCTTCCTCGTCATTTCACCTTGGGTGTGAAGGGGAATGTTCAACTTTAAAACATTACATGTGTTTGTAGTCTAATAACCAGAATTTATAGAGATATGATTGCATGCCTAATCTTTTCCCGTTGGTGAAAGATTAAAAACGAGAACATGGCATTCCTCTTCTTCAAAAATGGGTGATATAGTTCTTCGGATCTCTCTCCATTTATCTAATCGATACATGTGCATCACGTATTCACAAAACACATGACTCGTGTTAGATTAGACACACAAACACAACGAAATAGAGAATAAATGCGAGAAAGAGAAATCAAGACATAAGATTTTATCCTTGTTCACCCTTACACTAGGGTTACATCCGGCAGGGAATTCCACTATAATTAGCATCTCCTACCTCTCTATTACAACTTTTAATTACAAGATAAAGAGATTATATATATATATATAATACAACAGCTATTCATGAGTTCAAGCCAAACTATCAATAAGATACGGGCCCAAGCTATGAAAGCCCTTTGGCAACTCGAGGGCGTTACCCTCATGACCCTTATCGAGACGGCCCCCTCGGATCCCCATGCCTTCCTGTTGATGGGGTGTATAAACCACACCCTAACAGCTCGTAAAAAATACTAGTCTCTTTTCTCCTCTGTTTCTCTCTCCACTAGTAGCTGCATGCCCCAGCATTGCCGAGTCTGCATACCTATTGCATATCATCCATTTGAATCCAACAAACTATATAAAAGAAACATGAAGGGTGTTCTACAGGCCTTCAACTAGCCTAGCCGAGTCTCCATACCTATGCCTTTAAATTATAGAGAAGAGAAAATGCCTCGAACATTTGTATCTCTCGTCTAGAACAATGATTCTATGTAAAAAGTATATAATACGTATTAGGAGCGACACGTGAAATTTGATTGATGGGGGTGGATGCACATACGTGAAAGTATAACATTGACTCCAATACCATTAGGGGTGAGCATGGTTTCATGGTAGAACCGAGAAACCTGAGAACTAGGTTCTAGGGTATGCAGAGTAGGTTTTAGGTTCCAAAAATTTGGAAAACTATTCTGACAAATAGGTTCCAAGTCGAACAAGTTTTTGTGTTTTTCTTGTTCTATGTCTTTATGCGATCTTGCGATATTCCATAACGTCCAATGATAAGTGTATAATCTGAATTCAGTAGTATGGGCTTCCATTTCCGGCGATATCATAACAAAAACTTTTACTTTATTAATGTTTCATATTCTTTGTGTGTTTAAATATGAGTTGTGATCAACGAATTATAGCAAATAGTGATAATTAGAGGTGATGATTCATTACAATCATTCAATTGATAGTATATGTGGAACTTTGGTAGATCCTAGAACCAACCCTGAAACTTGTGATAGGGTAGGTTATAAATTCCAAGGGAAACCTGGACGGAATTTGGAACTGCTCATCTCTAGATTATCATATTAGAATGTCTAATCTGAAAGTTTAAGCTATTAGATGGTGAGAGGTCATATGTATACAAAGAGCATGTAAGACCCATTGTCAAGTAATCTAGAACTATAAGATGGTCAATCTACTGAAGTATTGCTCAAATGATAAGGCTGATAACTCGATGACAAGAATTAATCATATACCCACCAAAAACAATTTTTCTTGGGGAAAATTGTCAATTCAGTCCTAAACCTATTGTACGGCGGCCAATTCAGTCCTAAACCTTTTAAAAATTTGCCAATTCAGTCCTTCCGGCACATTTACCCCGGAAAATGCTTACGTGGATGTCCAGTCAGCTCTGGCCATCCTACGTGGCCGGACCGGCCGGCGCTGACGTGGTCACCGGAGATAAAAACGACGCGTTTTCTGCGATTAAAAAAAGAAAGAGTTTGGAGTTGTCGTCTGCTTGGAACCCTCGTGTCTTGCCCCAAAGTGAACGCTCACCCCAATCCTCGCTCCAATTCGAAGAACCCTAACACAAATCGATTCCATCTCAAGTCGAATCGAACGATTTCTCGCAAGCCGCATCGTTCTTTCGTCAAATCGGCTCCTCCAATCCTGCGTTCGCTCGTCAAAATTGAAGACCCGATTCACCCACAACACCCGATTCGACCTCCGGATTCTGCAGCGAACGCGACAAGGTGTGTGGTCCCGATTTTCTTTTGTTGTCGGCATTCAGCGAACACAATATAAAGGTGCGTTTTTGTGCTCCCAAACGCGACACAAAGATTCGTTGTCTTCACGTGTTGTCGGTACTTGACGAACATGATTGTCTTCACGCAAAACCCCCGATGGCCATCTGAAACTAATTTCTAAGCATGTATGCACACAAAAGAATATTTGGATGCAAAATAGTCCACGTAGCATGTTTGTGGCAAATTTTGTTGCGACAGATTTATGAATTTCTTTTGTGTGTTGTAACTTTGGGTTCTGTTTTGACTGCACGGAATGTTTGTGGCAAAATAGTCTACGCAGAATGTTTGTGGCAAATTTTGTTTCTACACAGAATGTTTGTGGCAAATTCTGTTTTGACTGAACTTGCCTTAGGTGGGTTGTTCTTTTGTTATTAAAAGCCATGGGAAGTAGTATCAATGTACTGAGGTGGGTTGTTCTTTTAGGAATTTCACTTGAGTAAGGTCACGTGAATTTTAGCCTCCTGAAACTTTGAACAAGATTATGGATGAACTAACTGTGACTTCTGTTTAGGCAAATTGACAATAAGAAGACTTTGCCTTGAAATGTCACAGGAGGCACAAAAGATTTAATGAAGTAGATGGGAATTCTATTAGAGCTTCTGAAACCTGCACCAAATATTCTTTCAATGACTTTACTAGACAATATGTATCGTTATATAAGTTTGCCTGCGCAAAAATTTTACTTCAGTTTCCTATTTTTTTAGTTAGCATTTGTCTTGCTCTAGTTTAAGTTATTCTCACAAGGAGTGTCAAGAGATCTGATAATTAAGCACAATGACAAATTTCTTTGTGCTAATGCTTATCTTCACGTGTTATTATATTGACCCTCAATTATGTTCAGTTAACAAACTATAATATACGTTGTCATTTTGTATAGGGTCGAGATGGACAACCAGTCAACTCTGGTTTGTCTTGTTGGAGGTGCTGGTCAGGGTGCTAATGAGAATGCTGGTCAGGGTGCTGGTAAAAGTAAGGGCATTGGTGGAGGTGCCTGTGAGGGTGTTGGCCAAGGCGAGGGCATTGGTGAGGGTGCCGTTGAGGGTATTGGTTTAGATTGTAATTTCTCAGTTGATAAGGGTGATGGTGCTACATTAGAGAGTAATGAATTTATGGTGGATGATTTAGATGTATCGGTAGATAATGTTGAAATTGATTCAGACAATGAATACTCATCTAATCTAGTCGATACAATATTCTCGACTGATGATGAGGATAATGATGATGAGGAACTTGTAGAAGCAAGGAAGAACATTAGGGAGTTCCACAAGAGGGTCACAAAGGGTTGGATTATAGCGGAACCACTCACGAAAGTTGTACCATCCCAACAATCTATAAGAGAATCATCTAATCGCGAACAATCTGATGTGGTTATTGCTGAAGGTGGTTACCAAACAGACTATTATGAAACAGATGGAGATGAGAGTTTAAGTTCTGATGTAGAGCGAGAAGATAGTGATGTGACAAGAAGGAGAAGTAGGTTTCCAATGTATGATCCTGATAGTGTAGTGCCTTTTTTTTCTACGTCTATGAAGTTTGATGATAGTAGGCAATTTAAAGATGCTCTCATAAAGTACTCAGTAGCCGAGCGTAGAGAGATAAAATTTGTCAAGAATGAAAAAAAATTTGTTAGAGCAAAATGTGCGGATGCAAATTGTGCTTGGAGGATTTCTGCATCTTTGGATGGTAGAACTGGGTCATTCCATGTGAAGACCTACCACGAAGAACATTCATGTAGCATCGGCTTTAATAATAAGAGGGTCACGAGTTCTTGGTTGGCAAAGCACTACCTTAGTACAATTAGAGCAATGCCAACCATCAAAACTAGTGCTTTGAAGGAGCTTATCAAGGATCAGTTGGGCTTAAATGTAAGTATGAATCAGTGTACAAAGGCTAGGTTGCTTGCCTTCCCTGTTTTGATGGGAAACTATGAGAAAGAATATGCAAAGTTGTGGGATTATGCAGAGGAGCTTAGGGAGACAAATCCTGGGAGTAGTGTTATACTGAAGGTTGAGAAGCCCGAAATGCATTCTAAGGCATTCTTTGAGAGAATGTATATCTGTTTTGCTGCATGCAAAAAAGGTTTCCTTGATGGATGTAGGAAAGTGATAGGGTTAGATGGTTGCTTCTTAAAAGGAATTTGTAAAGGGGAGATCTTGTGTGCCATTGGAAGGGATGCAAATGATCAGATGTTTCCAATTGCATGGGCAGTTGTCAAAGTTGAGAGTGGAGACACCTGGAATTGGTTCTTGACACAGTTGATGTGGGACCTCAACATTATAAACACATATGGACGAGGTTGGGTCATAATCAGTGATAAGCAAAAGGTAAGTTCCTTATTTCTTTTTTATTGTCTTAAATGATCACACTTGTAGTATGTTATTTTGATTGGAATCATATTTTGTAGGGTCTTCTACAAGCTGTGGCAGAGTTGTTGCCTGCAGCTGAGCATAGAATGTGTGCTAGACACATTTATGCCAACTGGGGCAAGAAGTATAAGGGAGTACAAATGCAAAGATTGTTTTGGCAGTGTGCTAAGAGCAATACCATGGTAGAGTACGATGAACATGCTCAAGCATTGAAGAAAATTAGTCCTGCTGCATATCATGACTTAGTTCAAACGGAGCCAAAGCACTGGTCAAAGGCTTTCTTCACCACTAAGGTCAAATGTGATATAGTTGACAACAACTTATGTGAGGCATTCAACGGAAGAATCGTAGATGCCAGGTGTAAGTCCATTTATAGCATGTTAGAGGAGATGAGGATAATGATAATGACAAGGATGCACACACAAAGGGATGCATGTGCTCGATGGAGGAGAGACTGTGGTCCAAGAATCGTAAAAAAATTGGAAGAAAATAGACTTGCTGCAACTTGCTCCCAAGTGATATGGAATGGTGATAATGGATATGAGGTGATGGAAAAGGGTGAGAAGTACGTGATCGATGTATTCAAGAGAGACTGTACTTGCAGGAGGTGGCAGCTTACTGGCATCCCTTGTCCCCATGCCATTTCTGCTTTAAATCATAGGCATGAGGATGCATATGATTATGTCGATGTGTGTTACAAGAAGGAGAAGTTCTTAGCTGCATATCAGAACATGCTTATGCCAGTTCGAGGAGAGAGATTTTGGAAAAAAACTAACAATGAGGCACCTGAACCACTTCCAGCTAGGGTGAAGCCTGGCAGACGTAAACATAAAAGATTAAGGGAGGAAGGTGAGGTGGCAAGTGGAACTCGGATGTCGAGGAGAGGAATGAAGATGACTTGTCAAACTTGCAAGAAAACAGGACACAATAGTTTGACATGTCCAGTTAGGAAGGCTAGGTCTACCGCTTCACAAACACACTTTTCAAGGAAAAAACTTTCGGTAAGTACATTCATTTTCATGATGTCATGCTTGCTTCGGGGATAAAACCTTAGATGAATTGTCTCTTTCTAGGTTCAGAGACATATAGGCGAAGGTGCAAGCGACGGTGTTGGTGGGACACCAATTGCTGATGCTGCGCCTGGGACACCTGTTTGTAGGACTGTGAGTAGTGTTCTGTTAGATTTTCAATTTAACTAGCAAAGTATTTCTATTTCCATGGTGTCATGCTTGCTTTGTCGATAAAACCTTAAGTGAATATTACTCTTTCCAGGTTCAGAGGCATACGGGCGAAGGTGCGAGTGGTAGTGTTGGTGGAGCACCAATTGATGGTGCTGCTCCTAGGACGCCAGTCCACGAAACTGTGAGTAGCATTCTATTAAATTTTCATTTTTATTAGCAATTTTTATTAACTAATGAAATTTAATGATGTTGGGCAAGATTACAAGTTCCGCACATGGCAAGAGACAAAGAGTTGATGTACAAACACATGTTGAATCAACATCAAAAGCAACTGCAGTTGAAGTTCCAGTTAAAGCAAGAGGCCCATCAAGAAAGAAGAAAAATAGTGACAAGAAGCAACTTCAACCTACAAGAAAAAGTGATAGGAAGTAGTGTTATGGTTGTGAAAAAGTGATAGGAAGTAGTGTTATGGTTGTGTTCTTTTTTTTTTTTCGCTAATGGGTTCAATGAAGTATCGTTGTGGCTGTCTTATCTTTTTTTTGTCACTCAGAGGTTTAGTGAAGTAGTGTGGTGGTTCTCTTTTTGTTTGTCGATGATAGGTTGGTTCAGTGAAGTAGCATTGTGGGTTTTAGTTTTTTTTTTTGGCTCGATGATGGCTCATTGACTTGGTTGGGGATCGGTGAAGTACTGTGCTTGTACTCTCCTTTATTGCAATGAAATGTGCTTGTGCATTCTGGTAAATTTGTTTATCTGTTGTTACTCTTACCGATTGTTGCATATTCTATGACAAGTCAAATAAATGCTTAAGTTGAAGCAGGTGCCTGGGATAGTTAATGTTCAATTTATTTGTTTTTGCATTGGTCACTGTTCAGCTAGGAAGATAAGTAATCTGAGCACATGAAGACTGCTCCGATTAATGGCAAGGAACATGACAAAGTTAGTGGGCATTAGTTTTTGAAAATAGATTGCAAATTGGATTCCAAAATGGCATGTCCATGAGAGCTGAACCTTTGTTACAAGCTAAAGCAACATCAATGGAGCTTCAATATACCAAATAGAGCACAATCTCAAATGCACATCATTAGACAATTAGCAACCTCTCTCCACACCAGAAACATTTTCAAATGTGGATACATCCATTCCAAGCCAAATCTGAGCCGTTTCCCATAGTAAGTTTACAGAACTTTGTTTGTTAAAGTCAATATTAATTTTCTTTTTGTACCTTTTCAGTCCAACTAATGGGCATATAACATCTTCAGCCACAGAAGCTTTGATGAAGTTAGTATAGCTAATTCAACCCAAGTTGCTTGCTTTTGTGGGATAATCTATTATTCTTTTCCTTGTCATTGTGGGTTATTCATATATCAGAATGAATGCAAGACAGTTTTCAATGGCATATAGGATAACGGAAAGTTAAAAATCCCTAGCCATGAGATTTCCCTAGCTCTTTTCCTGATTTAAGCAACATTTGTTCCAGAAAGGAAATTGAACTATTAAAAATCCAAATATTATAAAGAACATTGCCACATATCCAGACAGGATATGTGCTTTTCAAACTGAAAAAAAATCTTCACTTCATTCATCCCACAAACAAAGTGCACATACATGTAAAAAAGATGCCGACGAATACAAAACATGTTCAGAATAACACATTCTATGCCAAACTCATGACATCCTTCACCTTCAAATTTTAAAATAACATACGAGCTAATATTACTATAAACACTAACAACACAACCAACATTATCTTCAATCTAGAATTTTCTTGTTTCACATGTTTTAATTGTGCTTTGAGAGCCTTGACTTCGGCGTCCATCGAGCAGCCATCATCCTCACTACAGGTTGACATTAGTTCTTGCTCGACATTGCTCTGGTGAAAACTTTTCGACACACTTCTTGCTGATTGACTGATTTCCCCATCAACCCAAATAAAAAAACTGCAACTTTCTCCTTTGTTGTTGTGGTTGTATCTTGGGCAGCCGTAGTATCTTCTTCCCCGATTGTCCTTCGTCCTTGCTGTTCGTAGTGGAGATTTGAGGCCACAGTAACAAAAAATGGATGTATCGTTGTTGATTGGAGGGACCGACGCCATCGATTGTGACGAATAGGCTGATCTCTTCATGAATTCTCTAATCTCTTCTTGCGATGACACCTCGCTGTTAGTTATAGTACAATTGCTATTTATGCTTTCAAATTACTACTGGAGTTTCCTTTTGTGATTCTGCCATTTGCAAGGGAAAAAGTGAGGATAGCATAAGATTTAAGAGAATCCAAAAAGACACTTCCAATAGTCAAGACAATGAGCAAATATGATGGACAGATGAATAGATACTAATCAGATGAACTCTTCCAGTAGCAGCACTTCCAATCTGAACAGATTCATGCTACGAACAGAGAAAAATTTCGCAGAGAGAACATATGGTACTCAAATAAAATTCCTAAAAGAACAACCCACCTCAGTACATTAATGCTACTTCCCATGGCTTTTGATACCAAAAGAACAACCCACCTCAAGCTAAAATTCAGTGGTGAACTCATCCCAACTAGTAGATCCCGAGACAAAACCCATAGAACCCATAGCAAGCTGATCCCGACACAGACCCACAACAGGCAGTAATAGCATTACCATCAGTTCCAGCATACAAAAGAATTCATAAATCTTTGTGTTGCGTTTGGGAGCACGAAAACGCACCTTTATATTGTGTTCGCTGAGTGCCGACAACAAAAGAAAATCGGGACCACACACCTTGTCGCGTTCGCTGTAGAATCCGGAGGTCGAATCGGGTGTTGTGGGTGAATCGGGTCTTCAATTTTGACGAGCGAACGCAGGATTGGAGGAGCCGATTTGACGAAAGAACGATGCGGCTTGCGAGAAATCGTTCGATTCGACTTGAGATGGAATCGATTTGTGTTAGGGTTCTTCGAATTGGAGCGAGGATTGGGGTGAGCGTTCACTTTGGGGCAAGACACGAGGGTTCCAAGCAGACGACAACTCCAAACTCTTTCTTTTTTTAATCGCAGAAAACGCGTCGTTTTTATCTCCGGTGACCACGTCAGCGCCGGCCTCCCGCCGGTCCGGCCACGTAGGATGGCCAGAGCTGACTGGACATCCACGTAAGCATTTTCCGGGGTAAATGTGCCGGAAGGACTGAATTGGCAAATTTTTAAAAGGTTTAGGACTGAATTGGCAAAATTGAAAGGTTTAGGACTGAATTGGCCGCGTACAATAGGTTTAGGACTGAATTGACAATTTTCCCATTTTTCTTGACCTGCGACTTCTATTTTTTCGGCGTCGAAGATTCTCCCTTCCACAAAATTCCAAACACATGGTTCATGAGTTTCTTTCACTGTATCTTTGACATTATTGAAGATGCTAATTTCATTAATTTCCACTCTTTATTGTTAATTAGAAGCTGCCCGTGCAAAATTCAACAGCGTTAACCTATGCGGCATCAAATGTCCACAAATTTATCAATAATGTCCTGATCTTCTTGCTTCATTTTAAGTTTAAAAAACATAAGCGTGCATGCCGACAATTCAAGCCTGAAAAGTTTGAAACACAGCGGGCCATATATTCAAAAATATTTGGCAAGACTAATGAGAAAAAATTCAATATTATGATAATAGTTGGCACCCGAGGAGTCGAGTTTCCACGTAGATTGGCCGGGGTTTCAACAATAGAAATATTTATACTCGAAGATTCTTAGAGGTCAACAAGAGTACCTCATGAAAACATCATAAACCACCGAGTGCCATTATCTAGAACAAGAAGAAGTAAGCGACATTTTGTCTTCATTGAACCAGAACTTTTAGTGCAATATCATAAATCACCGGCACCGCCAACTGTTTTAAAAATTTAAGCTGTTAAGGCCCTGTTTGGTAACCGGCCAAATAGTGCTTGATTCTATTATTTTGTTCCTGGGAACAAACAAAGAACAGAAATCCGTTTGGTAAATTTTTTGTTCCCGGGAACAAATTTGAAACAGAATCAAGAATAAAAAAAAAGTTGATTATTAATTCCGAGAACAAGAATCAGAAACGAAAAAGAAATTTTTTTTTCTTCTTCTTCTTTCCGAGTTGGATCCTCACGGCAAGCGTGCATGCCGACAATTCAAGCCTGAAAAGTTTGAAATACAACGGGCCAGATATTCAAAAATATTTGGCAAGACGAATGAGAAAAAATTCAAGATTATGATAATAGTCGGCACCTGAGGAGTCGAGTTTCCACGTAGATTGGCCAGGGTTTCAACAATAGAAATATTTATACTCGAAGATTCTTAGAGGTCAACAAGAGTACCTCATGAAAACATCATAAACCATCGAGTGCCATTATCTAGAACAAGAAGAAGTAAGCGACATTTTGTCTTCATTGAACCAGAACTTTTAGTGCAATATCATAAATCACCGGGCACCGCTAACTGTTTTAAAAATTTAAGTTGTTAAGACCCTGTTTGGTAACTGGCCAAACGGTGCTTGATTCTATTCTTTTGTTCCCTGGAACAAATAAAGAATATAAATCCATTTGGTAAATTTTTTGTTCCCGGGAACAAATTTGGAACAGAATCAAGAATAAAAACAAAAGTTGATTATTAATTCCAGGAACAAGAATCAAAAACGAAAAAGAAAATTTTTTTTCTTCTTCTTTCCGGGTTGGACCCTCACGGGTTGGGTGAGGTCTGCCTCGCCGGATCTGACAAGGGCTTTGCAGCCTAGGCGAGGGTTGCCCTCATTGGGCCAGATCCGGTGAGGGCTGGCGGCGAGGGTCCAGCCCTCGCCAAAGCCGGCGAGGGCATCGCGGCCCTCGCCGGCCATGGGCCAAGGAAGGAGAAGAAGAAAAAAAGAAAAGAAAAAACAAAGGAAAAATATCGGATTTAATTATGGAAAATGAGGACCATATGGTGATTAAATACTAACTCAACTTCAAATAAAGAATTATTTTTTCAAAAAATGTCAAAATGTTGATCGTCCTTTACAATAAAGATTTGAAATATACAGTCATGTGATTCCATCTTGGCTCTCGCGGCATTACAAATTTATTATATATTAACAAGTATTGAGTGAAATCTTATACGAATAGAGTGTATTGATATTGCGACACACGAATTGCAAGAGCACATGTTTTCTTTGGACTTTGGTATTGATTTATTATAGAAGTATATTATATGCTGATATATGTAGCATGTGCTTATTAATGTTATCATTTCTTATGATTAATCACCCTTGATCCTCATTATTGCCGGCCCCGCTACTCCCCTCTAAGGATGCTTGTAGACCCAACTCCGGTAATTACTTTCTGTCTCTTCTTGTGGCATTTTTCTTGGCTAATTCAAATGAATGAATGAATTCTCTAATGAATTTCGCATGCTTAATTAACTAGATAATGAGATACTCAACTTATAGCCAAACTGCTCTATAAACTTAATACAGCAGAGAGCATATCAATCACATGCAAGGATGAGACAATGAAGAAAAGAAACAAAAGGGATCACCCACAACGATATGCAGACAGATTACTTCACTTCATTGACTGTTCTCCCCTCAGCAAGTATCTAAAAAACCCTTAGCTAGATCCAAAACCCACGTTCAATGGGAGGTTAAAGAAACCATTTTTGATGTTCAGTTTCAAGGATGGGTCGAAGAGGAACACGTAAAGAACTCCCCCACGCAGTGCACATGCAGATAAATGAAGTTATCCAGAGCCTTCTTTAGCAAAGAAAAGCCCATTTTCACGTACGGACCTGCTGTTCTCGAAGAGATCTTCTTGGAAATGGTGTTCACGTTCTCAAAGTACAGTGATCCCAGTCTGTATTTTTGTATCTGCGGACTGTGTTGGTCACGTGTATTTCTAGGGTTTGGGACAGTATCTTATTTGCAACATTAATTATACCATCAAAATAATGCTTGATCAACACGATGTTTATTCTCCTTTTAATTGCAAAGCAACAAAGAAAACTACATATTAAATCAAGGAAATTGCAGCCAGATGCACGCTGCCTGTACATTAGTAGTTTTATCCCACACAAAAACGTTTGCTTTTATTCCAATCAGAAATTGTTTTTTTCCTTTAGATTCCGCGTCTCGAAATAATAGAAAAGAAGAAAATTAATTTCAGCACACCAATTAGAGTTTTCTTCTAATCACTCAATTGCTAGTGACTAGTTAGTTGATTAATTGGTAAAAGTTAAGGAGAAGTTGTTTGACAGTTCACCCTTCACCCAACTAATCATGTTGGGAGCACGGAATTTTGTAAGGATTTTATTAAAATATTCTTCTTTGAAAGAAAATGGAAGAACCCACGATTTAGTCAGTGTTTCGTGATTGTTTGACTGGACAGCCATGGTGGATCCAAAAACATGTAATAAGACAACTGACAAGAGCGACGTTCACAAAAGAAACGTGGGGTGTCAAAAAACGACAAGCGATCAATTTCTTCAGGAGATGTACGTACATACAAACATACATACTGGAGTATCTATGCCACGCATGGACTTAATTATAGGACACGATATTATTATGTATGAAATACCCGAATGATTTTTAGGAACTTGTTAATATTGGGTTTAAATCTATCGGTAGCATAGTGTACTTTTGATATGCTTTGTTTATATTTTCGTTGTCCTCATATTTGTACGGAACCAGTTGGCTTAGTGTATTAGTGAACGGACACAATTTTATAATGTTGTATATAGATACAAGATAATATATATGTATATATTATACTATATTTGTGTATTGACAACAAGGCTCGCATTAGAAACAAATTTTTTTTTTAAAATTTCCCGACGGAGGAGTTAGATCCTAAGATTAAACTCTACATAAATTTGACCATGTTACACAAAATTTCACAAGGACCCAGGTTCTATTTTTAATATAAATTCCAGATTAATTACACGTCCATTATCATGACATATTTGGTGTTCCAATGAGATTAAAATAAGCTGTCCACGTCAAAATCGATCAACAATGTTTTGTTTAACTGAGAGTTAACTGGCTCGTGTGAAAGCACAAGTCAAAACACTGGAGCGACATGATTTAAGCACGCGTGATAATAACCAAAGCTGGGCCCTTTTGACATTGCATCCATATCACTGGCTTTAATTACAAATTAATACTTTAATTAGAGGTGTTAATCCAGTAATTTACACCGTCTCTTGTCGTCCTCGTCACGGAGTTAGATGTTTTAATTTATCAAGATCTACTGAACTCTGACAACCGCAAAAGATGGAGGAACTCCGCCATACAAAATGGAGAAAAGAGCATATACCACATAATAAATAAGATATAGTTGAAAATGGTCCATGTGAGAAATAATTTGATTAAAAAGTGAAGGACTATAACGTGTCTTTCGAGCTAGGTTCCGAAAATGGAACCTCCAACTATTAAAATTGAAATAATTTTTTTTATTTTCTTTTTTTTTTATCAATAAAGATTAAAAAAAGAAAGAAAGAACCTATAACAATGCTGTGCATTATTTCTGCTTTCGGGGTTAGTACTGCCCTTTTTTTTTAAATCAGAAAGTACGGCCCTTAAAATATAACATTTTACAGAATCGTTATTAGATGAATGAAACGTGAGAAAACCCGATTAGTTATTACCTAAGTTCAAATGCACTTGAGCAATTATGTGGTGCTTATTTTTTTCCCCTTTACACGAACATTTAATTTCTCACAAGAAAATGGTGAGTCTTTAAATGGATATGAATAACCATATAATCGGAAATGCAAAAATGAGAATTTAATTTCTCACAAGAAAATGGCGAGTCTTTATATGAATATGAATATGAATAACCGTGTAAGCAGAAATGCAAAAAACGAGGGTAGATTTTGTGACTGCGTACATTATTCGAGATAAATCAATGAAGATTGATTCGTTGACTACTCGACCATGAGATGATTTTGATAATGTTCGAGATAAAAATATAGTGTGAAGTTGGTCCGAGAGAGAGAGAGAGAGAGAGAGAGAGAGAGAGAGAGAGAGAGAGAGAGAGAGAGAGAGAGAGAGAGAGAGAGAGAGAGAGAGAGAGAGAGAGAGAGAGAGAGAGAGAGAGAGAGAGAGAGAGAGAGAGAGAGAGAGAGTGTTAGGCTAAGTGGTAATTTTTTTATTAACTGATATGCACAAACCACACATAACTGATTGTGTATAAGGTTGAGACAAGAGATGGAAACAAACTGAGGGAAGATGTCCATCACCCTTTTATAGAGGGATCACATTGGACACTTCATTTCAATTTTACCACTGTTTTATAAATTAATAGACTTACATTATGCTAGATTTATGGAGATTGTTTTACAAATTTGGTTTGAGTCCTTTTAAGTAAGTTGACCATATTTGAGAACCAATCACAGTCTAACATATCACTAAGCAAACTAATTTTGTAGACTAGATGTAGCAAGTCTAGCATTTCTCTAGATTTTTTTTTTTGCACAATTCCCAGCATGTCTCAATTCGAATAATCGCTCAACATATAAAGATTTGAGTGACCTAAAATAGTTGCACGCTCACATGAGAAGAAGAAATTACCAAAGAAATCACGTGGAACAATAATGAACACTAGAGATTTATGTGCTTTTATCCGAGTGTAGGCACCTATCCCACGAGGAGAACTAGCTGCCAAGAAATCCCTATGAATCCGGATAATACATAGTTTACACTCGCTCAATCGCTCAAGTGTTTCCCAACCCTAAATTATAACCAAAGCAAACTCATAAATGTTTTATATCACAATCCCTCACAACGAATTACCGATAAAACTCACTGATAGAAAACCCTACATTTTTCTTGTTTGCTCTAATATGCTAAAACCAAAATCTACCTCTTATATATATTTGTATTAAAGAAAGGATACCCTTTTTAACTGACTCAAATTAGGAATTCAACTCCAGTAAAGATTTTTAGCTTCATTTGTTAGGTCAAGCGAAAGTCCGATCTAGACTTTCCTAATTTAAATTACACGATCAGGCTTTGAATCAGGTTTCGTTCATGAATTCAAATTCGATATATTGTTAATCACTATATATTATAGTCATCGCCGTCGCCATCATATGTTAAAACAAAGTGAAGCTTTCAGTGAAAGACTCGAAAACCTACCTGTATGTACTCCACGCCACAGTGATCAGAAAAAGCAACCAAACTGCACATATAATACTAATAAACAAGTTGAAGTACAAATTTAAGAAAGGACTTTTATTAACTCCCGATTAATTGCGTTTATATATAATGTCAAGCGTCAACCCTCGCCACCCAAGAACATCATAGTACGCAGAAAACCCTAATCAGTCCCTAACCTCGCATTACCGTCCGCTATTCAGGATCAACATTTACACAACAAGTTCCACAATATCAGAATCAGATGTTGCTCTTTTAGAGTGCATTCGTCAGCATCTTCTTGACGATGACGACTTTGAAACCCCTGTGAAAATCGATGAAAATGATCGATTCCATTGCCCAGATTCAAGTTTCAACACATTCCCGTCGCTGGAGACAACAATGTCCTTCGAAGCAAATGATACAGACGTGGACGTCTATCCCGATCCCCTGAAAGACGCCATGGGATTGGAATCACCCAGCTTGTTGAATGAGCAAACGATCGAGGATCATGGACACGTTGAAGCAAATGAGGCCATGCCTGCGGTGATGCGTGAGTGTGATGCCCGGCCTGGAGGGTGTCTCTACCGGGGAGTGAGGAGGCGGCCGTGGGGGACGTATGCGGCGGAGATTCGGGACCCGAAGAAGAACGGCACAAGGAGGTGGCTCGGGACCTACGAGACGCCACAGGAGGCTGCGTTGGCTTATGACTGTGCTGCGTTTGCGATGCGTGGGGCCAAGGCCAGGCTAAATTTCCCTCACTTGATCGGTTGTGATGAGGTGGAGCCGGTGAGGGTCACTCGGAAGCGGCACCACTCACCTGAGGCTGAGATCGGCTTGCTGGATCCGACAGGGAGAAAGGAGGACTTGACTGGCTCGGCTGGCGACCCCGACGAGCTTAATGGCTATATCCTGTCGTTCCAATAGAGTGGAACTTGAAATGGACGAAATTGACAGTTTTGTGTGATGATTTTTAGTCATTGTGTTTTGAACATGCGTCAAGTGTATAATTTTCGCATAAAAGAAGCACACGAAAAACTCATTTATGCGTGATTTACTAATTTTTGTTTCTTCAGGGAGCAAAAACAAATTAGATGAAATTCCGACGGGGGTTTAGTCAAATTTTCTGGGGAGAAAATTGACAAGTGCTGCTGCTGAACTGTAATTTTCCATGCTATCATACTAAAAAATTTGCACTTTACAGTGCTTTGAGTCGCCACCTAAGAAAATCATACATATGAGAAGATATGCGTTCGTTTATGCTCTTTTTGGAAAAGATGGGAATTGGAAAAAGAAAATTGAGAGGTGGAGATATAGAAAATGGAATGAACTTTAAAATTTTTGCTCTACTACATACAACTGTTTCTTTGAGGAATGTCGAAACTAGGGTTGATTTTGACGGTGTAATTTATTCAAGATAAATCAATCAAGATTGGTTCGTTGACTATTCGACCGTGAGTTGATTCCGATTATGTTCAAATAGCGTCTATATCAAAAAGAGGGAAATTTAAACTCAATTGGCCAATGAACCTACTCATTTATTTAGGAACATAGAAAATCTTAGGTTAAGCATATGGGGCACTTCACTCAATCGCGCATTAAAATTCAAGCTCGGTCAGCTCAAGTCAAGTAAAGAATAGTCAAAAGTGTGGACTGCCCTTCCTTTTGGAGTAATAAAACGACTTAACAATGTATTGACTCCTCGAAATTGCTCAAACTTCCTTTTTTTGGCCACAACAGCAGAAAGTAACGATCAATTTTCATTGGATCAGACAAGAGAAATCAATCAAATCAACATGAATGTTTTCTTGGACAAACCGCATGTTAATGCTCCGTTTGTTTCACGAAAAATGAATGATTTGAAAAATATTTTTCTAAAAATAATAGCTTACGTTGCTCGAAATAATTAGACAATAAAAAATGTTTTCATTATTAAACTGCCTAAATATTTTCGTGGATAGTGAAAATATTTTTTGTTCATTCATAATTATAAGGGATATAAGTTATTATTTTTACGAAAATATTTTTCAAATCATTCATTTTTCGCGAAACAAACGAAACCTAATTGCCAAAAGTCTTTCCTACTGAGAGAAGTTTTCAATCGTCATCGGTTTCCTTCTTTCTTTGATTTGATGCCTGTGCTCCAAATCCTGAATGAATCCTCGGTTCAGTATCAAGTTCTTGTTGGAGTCTCAATTTAGATTAAGTTGCCTGAAGAGACTCTTCAAAACTCGATTGTGAACACGATTTAATGTGCGAATCATCAGTAATTTCAACAAAATAAATTGATTGTATCTGATGATGCTAGCCTTAATCTATCAAAAAGAGAAGAATTGAATCATCAGTCTATGTATTATGATGTTCCAATCTAATGAACATATGTAGCTGTTGGTAAGACTTGAGAATCCTCCAAATGAATTTTGATTTCTCGAGTTGAGTCAAGCTGGATCGATAAAACCCTAGGCCAGATCCCAAATTAAAAGCCTCCTAGAAACCGGGGGGGGGGGGGGGGGGGGTGGCGGCGGCGGCGGCGGCGGCGGCGGCGGTGGCGGTGGTTAATTTTGTGTATGTGCATATATGATTTTTTTATAAGTATATGTAACAGGGGACACATATGTAATTCTGTATTAGAATTAAATTCATACAGAGAGATAAAAATAAAGTAAAGGAAGAGACCCCCTGTTCCATCTTTTAGATGGATCATTGTCTTAGACACTCCTTTAAAGTTTACTATACTTCTTTAGGAGATCCATTTTCCCTCCATCTTCATAGTATCCCTCACGGTAAATATAATTTTAAGCTAAAACAACTTTTGAAAAATGAATATTTACTTTCAACTTTTGAAAACAGAAGGCTAATAATTTCTTTCACAAAAAAAAAGAAAAAAAAAGAGGGAAAAAAAGCCCGACACGAATATCTTCAGTAATTTCACGTTTTTTAGGTGACAAAACTTTGGAAGGAATTTCCAAGAGACTTTAGTCTAATTTGGAGGCAAAAATTTGACAAAATGATGCTTCTGAACAATTTTGCACTCCTTTTAATCGCCACTAACATGATCACCTAGCTATGTGCATCACATTAACAACATATATATGGGAAAATTCAAAAAAGGGGTCCGAAGTGGAGTCATTTTTCTCAAATAAAGGTCTGAAGTGAACCTTATCTCAAATAAGGATCTGAATTGCCCTTATTTTCTCAAATAAAGGTATGAAGTGAATCCTATCTCAAATAAGGCATGAGGTAGCCATATCGATCTCAAATAAGGACCTCACCTCACTGGCTAAAGGGTATTTTAGTCTTTTTACTTTTTTTAAATTTTTTTTCTTTTTTTTTCCTTTTCTTTTTTATTTTCCTCTCTTCCCTCCGTCGGCCATTGCCGGGGTCGGCGGAGGTCGCTGGCCTCAGGCGGAGGCCGCCCTCGCCTGGGCAGGCAAGGGTTGACCTCGCCGGCGTTTGGCGAGGGCCGCCCTTGCCTGGCTTGGCGAGGGCCGCCCTTGCCTGGCTTGGCGAGGGCCGCCCTTGCCTGGCTTGGCGAGGGTCACCCTTGCCCACCCAACCGAGGTGAGGCGACCCTCGCTTGACGCTGGTGAGGGCAACCCAGTCGTCGCCATAGGGCGAGGGTTGCCTCGCTTGGGCTGGGCGGGCAAGAGCGACCCAAGCCAGCTCAGGCGAGGGTGGCCCTTGCCCGACGCCGATGAGGGTGAGGGTTGCCCTCGTCGGATTTGGTGAGGGTCGCCCTCACCCGCCCAGCCCAAGCGAGGTGACCCTTGCCTGACGCCGGCAAGGGCAGCCTTCGCTTGAGGCCGTCGCCGGCCAGGCGCAGTGACCACTGGGGAAGAAGAAAAAAGGGAAAAGAAAAAAGAAAAGGAAAAGAAAAGAAAAGAAAAAGAAAAAGAAAGTAAAAAAAATAAAAAATATATATAATTATAATTTTTTTTACTAAAATACCCCTTCTCCAGCGACATAATAGTCACCGACCGGCCAAAGGTCTTTATTTGAGACGATTTGGCCACTTCATACCCTTATTTGAGACAATATCCACTTCAAACCCTTATTTGAGAAAATACTCCATTTCGAGCTCTTTTTTGAAATTTTTCCTATATATATATATATAATGATATAACTGTTCACTTAACTGTTTTCGATTATGCTTGATTTACTGAGATTGGTCTGCAAATTTGATTCATCATATGAGGCCTTTCAAATAAGCGAGCCGCATTCAAGAACCAATCACAGTCTGACATATATGTGGGTAAACAAATTTTGGTAAACTAGACTTGATAAGCCTAGCATTTCTCTTGATTTTTTGGTTACTGTACCCACAACGTCTTATCTTTGAATAATCGTTCCACTGAAGATGATATAAGGAATCAAAAGTGGTTTCACACTTACTGTTTTTTCTTGAAATGATATACATCAATGTCGTCATCATTTGTTAAAAAAGAGTGAATCTTCAACGAAACACTCAATGACCTACCTGTACATACTCCACGCCAGAATGACTAGAAAAAAGCAACCGTGTGACATATATAATAATACTAATAAACAAGATGAAGTACCGATTTGAAGGACTTCAAAAAAAAGTAACTCCCCCATGAAGTTCGTTTATATATACCTTCAGGCGTCAACTCTCGCCACCCAAGAACAGCTTAGTACGCACAAAACCCTAATCAGTCCCTAACCTCGTATCCTTCTCCTCCGCTCAGGATCAGCATGTCCACAAGAAGCTCAGCAATATCAGACTCAGATGCTGCTCTTTTAGAGTGCATCCGCCAGCATCTTCTCAACGATGACAAGCTCGAAACCCTACCGAAAATTGCACAAGATGTTCAATTCCATTGCCCAGATTCAAGTTTCGACATAGTTCTCTCGCCGGCGACAACATTTTGGTTGGAAGCGAGTGATTACGACGTGGACGTCCGTCAGAACCCCCCGAAGGACACTGTAGGGTTGGAATCGCCCAGCTCGTCGAATGAGCGATCGGTCGTGGGTTACGGACACGTCGAAGTGAATGAGGCCGTGCCTGGAGGGTGTCACTACCGGGGAGTGAGGAGGCGGCCGTGGGGGAAGTATGCAGCAGAGATCCGGGATTCGAAGAAGAATGGTGCGAGGAGGTGGCTCGGGACTTACGAGACGCCGCAGGAGGCCGCATTGGCTTATGACCGGGCTGCGTTCTCGATGCGGGGGGCCCAGGCCCGGCTGAATTTCCCGCACTTGATCGGTTGCGCCGAGGTGGAGCCGGTGAGGGTGACTCGGAAGCGCTCACCTGAGGCCGAGAGCAGTTCGCGGGATCCGAATTGGAGAAAGGAGGATTTGATCGGCTCGGCCCGCGACCCCGTCGAGCTTTTTGGCTATGTCCTGTAGTTTCAATAGAGTGAGACTTGAGATGAACAGAATCGAGAGGTATTGTATGATGAATTTTAGTCCTTCTGTTATGAACATGTGTCTAGTGTATACATGATTTCTCTGGAGAATTGGCTATGTATAAATTAGGGGTGAGCATCGGTACAGGGTCGACCCTGGACCAACCCTGGACCGGCCCAACCTGGCCAGTCCTAGTCCGGTTCCTAAGGGGTCTGAGTCGGTCCTTGGTCCTGGGATCCTTGGACCCTGCACTGTATGGGTTGGTTCTCGGTCCTGAGAGTTTAGGGTTTGTCCAACCCGAACCAACCCTGTATGTATTAAATATTATTATATATAATATATATTATACATTATATGCTTTTATCTACTCTAAACCCTAACGTCTCCTTTTCTATTGTCTTCTTTCTTATGCAGTTCAGTTTGCCGTATAAACAGAAAGTATAAAGAAACCCAGCTCTATTTCGACAAAAAAAAATAGAAAACCTCTTCGCTCGTCTCTGCCTATCTCGATCGCCTCGCCTGGCTTGCCTATGTTCGTTTGCCTCGCCGCTTGCCTCTCTTTGCTTGCCTCACTCGCCTTACTGCTCACCTATGTTCACTCGCCTCTCCACTCACCTTACGAACGCAACTCAGTTGGACAAACATACTTTGCTAAGTATTAATTATGTGTGTTGTTTATTTTGTTTTTAGGTGTTCGGAAGTTGAAGCGATCATTTGAGAATGAACAAGATATGAAGTTATATAATTCATGGTTTATATTACGTATTTTGAACTTCTTATGGTTTAATTGTATGTCACGTGTTCATTTTCTTGGTTTGTTGCTTTTAACAAGTGTGAATTTTATGTTGTTATGTACTGGTGTTCATAATTTGGTGTTCATAATTTGATTACTCAATGTCACATTATTGATAGATATGTAATTTGAAATAGTATGTCTGTTTTTTCAACGAATACAAAAAATGAAAAAAAAAATAATCGATTAGTCCCGGATTGACCCTGAAACTGAACTGGACCCAAAGGGTCAGTCCGGTCCTCAGTCTCAGGCTCAATAGGGTCGGTCCTCAGTCCCAAAAATTAGGGACCAATACTGTGTGAGTTGGTCCTTGGGTTAGGTGTTAGACCGGCTTAATCCGGACCATGCTCTCCCCTAGTATAAACTATCAAAATTGAGAGCTTAATCGCTATGTTCTTTCTCTGGAGATTTGGAAATGAAATTCTATGATTTCTTCCCCAAAAAAAGAAATTGGAATACGAAAAACTAATTTATGTCTGACTGTAGTGTTTTTTGTAATTTTACTTTTTTAGGGGTCAAAAGCTAATTATAAGAAATTTCGACGAGGACTCAGTCAAATTTTCTAAGAAGAAAATTGACAAGTTTTGCTGCTGATCAGTAATTTTCCATGACTAAGGTAATCATAAATAAGAGAAGAAACGTGTTCATTTACATTCTGCTTGGTTCGACCAAAAAAAAAAATTACTCTGTTTGGAAAAGATGGGAATTGGGAAAAAAAGTTGAGAAGTGGAGATATAGAAAATGGAAAAAATTTTAAAAAAATTTCGAAACAAATGTTTTAAAATTTTATTCTATTGTTACCCCACTTCCCAGTGTCCCGCTCCCCATCTTTTCCAAACAGACAATTAATATCCCAACCGCGTTTCTTCAGGATTAAGTAAACCAAAATATTTCTTTTTCGTTAAAAGTTAATATATTATCTAATTCAAAATATTATGAGGAAATTTTATGTGAATCTACCTGTCAATTGTTTGAGATAATTTGGAGATTCTCCAAATCTCCTTTAATTATGCATACTTGTCGTAATTGATATTGTAATATCTTATTATATTATATAGTAACATGATAAAGCCTACAAATAATTAATGTGCTTGCAAATGGAAATTATACAATTCACTTTCGCATTTTCTTTTTATCTTGGTATAGGAGCTATTCCCCGTCTGAGAAGCGTCCATTCGTTTTGTCATTTTGTCAAACGCGGTGTTGATTCCATATTTTATGTTGCTTCTTCTGAAAAAATCAACACCACCGTTAGACTCGCCATCCTCAGATCGTGAAATCCCGCTGCATTACGCCGTCACACACCTCCATGCACCGCAACATCAAGGATCAAGTTGATCTCATGTGCTTTACACGCCAGCAGTTTTCAGCGTTGGCCACGATAAGTCAAGTCATCCAACATGTTATCTGACATGTCACTAGCCACATCAATCTCAATCGCGTATGAGCCACATTAGTAGTAGCCAACCTGTTGTCTAGTACTCTGAACACGTCAGTCAATTCGCTCTTCAGCAGATCGAACCGGTTTACTGTTATGTTGGTGTGGTTCATTCCATTATTCACGGATTGGTTCTTGGAGATTTGGGACTGGTACTGGAGGTATTTTTTCGTGTTGAGTGTATTTCTGGCCTTAATTTCTCCATATCTGTCCTCAATGGTGCTGTTTTCTTCACCTTCATTATCCATTCTACTATTGTTCACCGGTAAAGTACATATAATGGAGATAAAATCCAAGTTCAATGAAGGAAAAAAACAAATTATTTTACTGTTTAGTTTCAAGGATGGGTCAAAGAGTATTGAATTATTTTGAAAATACGGTGATCCTCAACATTTTTGTATCTCTAGACTGTCAGTCAGGTGTATTTCTAGGGTTGGGCCAATATCTTATTTGCAACATTAATTATGAAATAATGCTTGATCAACACGATATTTATTCTCCTTTTCATTGCAAAGCAACAAGAAAACTATCATTAAATCAAAGAAATTGCAGCCACATCCACTATTTAATAAATTAGGTTATCCCACACCAAAAACGTTGTCCTTTTAATGTCAGTCGCTAGCAAATTGTCTTTTCTTCCTATAAAAAATTGGCTATTTCTTTACCAGACATAAAAAAATGATTTTAGTAATACCCATTAAAGATTCCTTCCTATCTTTCGAAGGCACCGTCCATCAAACAAATCATTAAGGAACACAAATATTTTTTTAAGGATTTCGTTAAAATATTTTTCTTTAAAAGAAAATGGAACAATTCATGATATACTCAATACTTCATGATTGTTTGAGTGGACAGTCACGGTGGTTCCAAGACAACGTAAATGTATATACATTACCTTAAGACAATTAACAACAAAAATTCCCAGAGAAAGATGGAATGTCAAAAAACTACATGATAATACAATTTTTTTGTGATTTTAACTCTCAAAGGTGAGGAAAATTTCCAAAAAATCATAAACTTTTTGAAATTTTGCCAATTTAATCATAAACCTTTCAATTTTGCTAATTTGCCAATTGCATCCATCTGACCAATTTGTTCAGAATTCGCTGAGGTGGACGCTGATCGTTCTACGTGACATGACTGGGCGGGCAAGCCTCGCTTGGGCAAGGGTCGCCGCTGCCTTCCACGGGTGAGGCTCGGCCGAGCAAGGGTAAGTCCTAGCAAGGCCGACCTTTGCCTAGGCTAGGGCGGCTTCACTGAGCATCGCCTAGGTGAAGGAGATGTCCGACGAGGATCGGCAGTGCCAAATCTGGCCTGGGCAAAGGCGAGCCCTAGCGAGGGCTCCCCTTGCTAGATCGAGTGAGGCTGGGCGTCACCTAGGGCAGGGTGGCCTTGTTGGGCGTCACCCTCTCCTGGTTGGGCCTTGCTTGTGGCGGCGATGGCCGAGCGAGGGAGACCCTTGCCTGGGCGAGGCCAACTTGCTCACCCGTCGCCTGTCGCCGGTCCTTGGCCAAAGGAAGAAGAAGAAAGGAAAAAAGAGAGAGAAAGAAACAAAGACAAAAGACAAAGTAATAAAAAATTGAAAAAACATTAAATATTATAAAAAATTGTCCATCCATGGGATGCCCAGCATCCACGTCTAATTCCGGCCAGAATTGGTCAGATGGATTGAATTGGCAAAATTAAAAGGTATAGGACTGAATTGGCAAAAGTGCAATATATTGATGACTTTTTAGATAATTTTCCTCTCAAAGGTGTGTATGGAGCCAAAACAGGATGTAAATAGCGGCTGTTCAATTATAATACACGGTACTAGTCTATATGAAATAGTTGATTGATTTTAGGAACTTTTTCATATTTATTTTAAGGGTTAGTATCACAAAAAACCCCAAATTATGTCACTTATGACACTTTTACCCAAATCTTTTTTTGTGACACTAAAAACCCAAAACTATACCCATTGTGACACATTTACCCTAAAAAAATTTTTGTGACACCAAAAATCTCAAAGTATACACTTTGTGACACATCTATCCTCCGTTACAATTCTGCCCAAAATCATTGTTCATCGTCTTCTCCAAGAAAAAAAATTGCACTGTTCATCGTCTTCGAAGTTACTGTTCATCGCCTTCTTGCTCGGCCGAAGCTCTTCCGGAGCTCGTCCGTCGCTGCCCATTGCCGCCCTGACCTCCGGGAGCTTCGTCGTAGTTGCCGACCATGGCGGCCGCTTGAGCTCGAAGCTTGGCCATGGCCGCTCCGCTTGTGCTCGAAGCTTGGCCATGGCGGCTGCTCGAGCTCGAAGAGCTGAGGCTGCTGAGAGAGGAAGGCGGAGGTGGTGATCGGTTGGACGGAGTGAGGAGGGGGATTTCGAAGGGCGTGGAGGAGAGCGCGGGTCCGGGCGAATATCGATGCCTGAGACGCCATTGATGGGAGCTCGGAGGAGGAGGAGGAGAAAGACGACGGCAATGGGACGACATTAAGAAAGACATTCGGGTACTAATTCCTTGCTTCAGCTCTTATCAAGAATTACTACCTTTAATCAACCACGAGTTTTTATCTTTCTTCGAACGCAGATTAATAAATGCCCCCCCAGTTTTCCTCGTTTGGGTTTTTCTCAAATTTCTTTTTGCTGCTTGAGGCGGTGTTGTGGGTGGCTTGATTTGGTATCAAGTTTTGAGTTTTTGCATTGTCTGCTTCTTCGAAGCTTGTTCTGATGATGTGGGGTTTTTGAATTTGTATGGGAATTTTGAGCTTCATTGGAGGTACGGT